GGGAAGGTGTGTAAGTGTTAGTCGTGTGGGGATGCCCCCTCACGGGGGCGTACGTGTCTTTTGGTGTATTTGTCTGTCTGGTATATTGTTTGTCGGGGGTCGCAATTTTAAAGAAATGTATTCTAAAGTAATGCAAATAACTGATAAATAAGTAAAAACTTACCTGGGCATAACCCCGGCACAGGTGCTGTAACAAAGATGCCGACGGCGTCTATGCTTAAGCCGGGGATTAGGTCGGTGATTAAAAGGAAAGAAAGGGATTCTTTCCAGGTAGCCTTAATAAAGGCAGGTAGAATTTGCTCCTTGCACTACACTTTCACAAAACACGTGTGCTCTGGTCGGCTGCCCGCTAGGAACTCATAGAAGGCCTAAACGTAACAATATTTAGGTGCATCATAAATATAAGGGACAAGAGAGCCCACCTAATTGTTGATCAATTAACTAGATCATAATTCCGAAAAGTAACTACACTACCTACATCCTACATTAACTCTCACTAATCGTTTACTTTAGGTCTGTTCCTCTGTTCTAGCAGCGATCCGGGACTAGTTTGAGACTGTCAAAAGCGTTCGACCAACTATTTCTTGCAGTACATTAAAATCCCATTCACAATCAATTCGCGGGCGAAGTCTGACTTGGCCACGCGTGCTTACCTTTCGCATTTCAATGTAAAACCCCATTCACAATCAATTCGCGGGCGAAGTCTGACTTGGCCACGCGTGCTTACCTTTCGCATTTCAATGTAGCCGTTCAGAATAAAATCTCGAGCTGGCAAACGAGTTGAAGTGCGCGTGAAACCTCGCAAGCTGCAAACTTTGACGTCCGTGCCGACTTCCGTGCCGGTTACGGGATATGCGCAATATGATTGTTTTAATAAAATGTCAACATAATTTTAATTTTATGGAATTTTGAAATTAGTTTAACCATTATGTTGATTAACCACGATGGAAGAATGGGAAACTTGTTATCCCCTCTTTTACAGGTAACAATGCTGTTGTTGTTGTTACTTAAAAAGACAGCTATTATAGCAATTCGAGCAAAAAAACTCCATTAAAAGACTTCTGGGTCTTGGGGGAGTAAGACCAATTCTAACGGCCCGGAGAAATCATGAATTTTATGAAAATTTTCTTCGTGAAGCTCGTTTCAGTGAGCCCAACATTTTTTTTCAATTTTATAATCTGTCAGATTTATCATAGTGGTCTGTAATTGGAGATACACTGTAATAAAAATTCGTCGCTAAACTCGGGAGCAGCTTGGAATTGGCTCATTTTAATTATTATTATGGATTATTATTGTACATTTTAATTTAAAATTTTGAAAACAAACAAAATATAAATATAACCTAAAGTATACAGCTAAAACAGCTGATTTAAGTTGAAGCCAACGCGCATGTACCAAGTCTCGTCTGAATTTTATTCTGAATGGTCAAATCCGTGCAGACTTTCGTGCCGAAGTGTAAGTTGGCTAGCAAATTGATTCTGAATGTACCTTAACAATTTAACTAATCGAATATTTCTGACAGTTTGAAACCAGTCCCTAATTGATGCTAGAACAGACCTTTTATCAACCTTCAATTTACACTAACTCTCGACCATGTAGACATGGCTTAATGTCCCACTTAGGCAGAATGTCATGGAATGTTGGAACATGGAACAGGAATATAAAAAAGTGAAAAAATGACCTAACCTGTTAAAATTAATGTCACAAAAATAAAATTAAAATTGTAGAGGAAGGGAAACGTAATGGTTTAGATTTTAGAGCACGTGTGTATTGAAGATTAATAAACCTGTCCTTTTTTAGTTGAAAATATTTATATAACAACAAATTTTAATTAATAAACATGCAGGTAATTTTATCTAAAATTTCTTTTTTTTTTTAAACCCATAACCTATACATTTCTAGAATCCTAATGAAGATACGGAATGGAACGATATTCTAAGGCAAAAGGGAATTATCCCACAAAAAGAAAAAGAAATTACAGAGGAACAAATTGTATCTATTTTAGAAGAAACCATTGAGAAAAAAACAGGTAAATACACAAGACAAATGTTTCTATATTTTGAATTTTACTTGCGATTTTGTTCAATTTATACAGCTTTCTAGTTACTTATTTTTTTAGATTCTGGCAAAAATTTATCAGAATTAAATTTGGATGAACTAGATGAACTAGAAGATTCAGAAGATGAAGCAATCCTTCTAGAATATCGCCAGAAGAGAATAGCAGAAATAAGAGCGTTAGTTGAGCGTAAGAAATTTGGAACAGTTTTAGAAATTTCAGCACAAGATTACGTCACTGAAATAAACAAAGCTGGAGAGGGAATTTGGGTGATTTTACATTTATATAAACAAGGGTAGGTAATAGTAGATGACTACCGTCATAGATTCTCAGTTAAGAATCTTGTCTATGACATACCTATAATTTTGGTATCGAAGAACAAAGTTTGACTTAATTTAATAAGATTTTTCGGAAATTTTTTGAATTCATTCGAATTATCTTCATACATTTGAAATAAGGTGAAATACTTGAACATAATGTATTTTTCTTACACTAGTAATACATTTCCTAAATGTTTTAGAATACCACTTTGTGCCTTAATAAATGAACATATGAGGTGCCTTGCTGCAAAGTATCCTACTGTGAAATTTGTAAAATCCATTTCTACCACATGTATACCAAATTATCCCGATAAAAATTTGCCAACAATATTTGTATATTTCGAAGGTGAACTGAAAAGTCAAACCGTAGGACCTTTAGAATTTCGAGGTCCCAACTTAACTCAAGATGGTAAGTTTACCCGAATTAGTTGGATAAATTTAATTACAATAAACATTTATTGTAGAGTTTGAATATCTTCTTGGAAAAGCTGGGGCAGTAGAAACTGACATTAAAGAAGATCCTAGACCAAAAATTAAGGACAAATTGTTTACTGATTTAGCCGACACAAATGATTGGTAGAATAGATTTAGATTTTTTAATGTGTTTAAATATTTATTTATGAAGTTATGAATTATACTAACAATTTATTATTTATTATGTTTTAAGTATTTTTTTTTCTCTTTATTGGCTTATGATTATTAATACATGTTGAATGTAAGCAGTTTGTTTTACATTTTTGTTAGCTCTAATATTTTATTATTTCTGTAACTGAAACCATTATACGGTTATTGTTCAAACTTATTTTTGTTAGTGAAAGTTTAGTTTTACAATCTTATATACAGGGTGTCCGGAAATTCATGCAACAAAATTTGGTCACAGATTCTTAAGACAAATTTAGGGGACCCGTATTTTTTATTTTTGCCAAGTGGCTCCCTCTTTCGGAGTTACAGCCCCCTGAAGTCCGCCCCTAAGAATAGTATTTTTTTCATATCTCAGAATCCTGTTGTATGAGAATCACTAAATTTGGTACACAGGGGTTTTATGACATGTGGAATCTGATGGTGCTCTGTTTTTTGGCGGGGAGCCCCCTTAAGACAGTTTTTCGTGGGCTCCCTTGTCTTTGGAGCCAAAAAAATTTAGCCGCATATTTAAATTTCTTAAAAATTATCAGTCCACTAGAAAGCCATTAAATTTAGAAACTTTTTGTCTCTTTATTCTTTTTTCGTAAAAAGCAGTTTTCGAGAAAAATGTCAAAATGTGATCGAATGCATATCGTGATTTGATATTTTCCTCAAAAACATTGCGTTTTACGAGACAAATATCAATAGACGAAAAAGTTTCTAAATTCAATGGCTTTCTAGCTAACTAATAATTTAAAAAAAAAATTAAATTTTGTTGCATGAAATTCGGGACACCCTGTAGAGCTTTCATAAATGGTTACGAGCCACATGACTGCCAAGCGTAGGTAATGTTGACAAAAAGCCCCGAAATCTTGGCGTCATCAATATTAATGAGTTATTTACAATAACCAGTGACAAGCCTTTGCGACTCTGCTCGAGATAATGCGATCGCCAAATGGATAAATAAAATGTCGCGAAAAATTACACCAGTCACATGCCGGTGAAATAAAATTTTGTGTTCTAATCTAACATTTAATTTTACCAAAATGGAATTGTTAACATGAAGGAAATAAAAATAGACATGCAAATGGGGGAATTGTTTGGATTATTTATTCCAATTCTTTTCAATAAATATTTCTTGAAATTTTCCTAAAAAGTTTTCTCAGAAAAGATGTAAAAAGCCAGACTAATGGTTTCCAAAGAAGATGCTTCAAATGGAATATCTACCTACATACAGGGTGTTTTTAAATGAAGTAGCAAAAATGGTACCAGTGAATGTAGAGCCAAAAATAAGAGGATTGCAGCTGTACCTGATTTACCTGTGCCTGATTTACAGGCCCCCACCAACTAGGAGCAAATTATTTATCTAAAAATATTTATTCGGAGACTGATTTATTGCGAAAATTTGTAAAAATAAAGTAGGCGGTTGTCATAACAAATAAATTGTTATTTATCATATTACTAAATTGACACTTTCTGTCAATAAGCTGGTAATTTAATAACATTAAGAATAATTTTGCTATTAATGAAAAATGTTTGATAACTTATGACTATGGGACATGTATTAGGTAAAGTTATTTATCTGAAATAAAATTTAATACAAACGAAAAACAAGAAATGCAAATTTAGATATAAAGAATATTCTCGAAATAATTTCCATTTTGCTGCAAGCATAACTTAATAATTCTGTTGAAGTTATAACGCACTCGCACAAACAGTTCTTGGTTATTGCGAAGGACATCTGCTGCCTGAAATATTTTTAAGCGTAGTTCTTCTAACGATGCAACAGGAGTGGCATAAACACTACTTTTTATGTGTCCCCACAAAAAGAAATCCATAGGTGTTAGGTCAGGTGAACATGCAGGCCAACAATCAGGGGCATCATGACCACGACCAATCCAGCAATTCGGGTAATTTAAATCTAACCATTCTCTAATGGCAAGTGTACTATGTGCAGGCGCCCCATCGTACATATACTACATCACCCGACGTGTAGCGAGGGGTACATCCACAAATAATGTTGGAAGATTTTCGTTCAAAAATCGAAGATACTCGGCCGCTCCAAGCCTGTGTGGAGTATTTCCTACAATTCCCATCCAAACGTTTAAACTGAAATTATATTGAAGGTATAAAAGATTTTCATGAGCTACATTTCACACAAGACTGTGAGAAACTTGCAGTTGCCTGGACACCTGTCTTGTGCTTGTACCATATTCTTGTTCTAGATGTTCCTCAGTTTCAACAGTTCGGTTGGACATTATGCCTTCTTCCGGCACCCTCACGATTGGGCTAAATTTTACCAGTTTCGCAAAGCCTTCTTTTCATCGAGGCCAATGTTTGTCTATGAGGAATTGGTCGGTTTGGATATCTTTGGTGGTACCTATAATCAGTGACTATAAAAAGAATAGTCACTGGTATACCTCATGTCGATTAAAGACTTATTTTGGAGATATAAACGAAAAACTGATAAAAGAGTAATTATTTTTTTCTTATTATAAACAATATGACGCTCGACCTCTACAAATACACAAATTTATGCTTTTATTCTGTGTATTTTTTACTTAATTGTAAGTCCATAAAATTCGAAGTAGCCCCGATTTTTTAAAAAAACCTAAATCACTCGGACTAATAGCAAATAAATAGCGAAATCAGTCACTCACATACAGGGTGATTTCACTTTAAATACAGAAACTGCAGGAATTGATTAGCTGCCAAAAAATAAGTAGAGTTTGCACTATAAACATTTGTCCTGGGGACGTGGTATTCGAGATTCAGGGTGTTCAGTTTCAAAAAAATATATACATATATATTTTCGTCATGTTTTCATATTACGCTGAACGATTTGAATGAAATTTATTACAGCGTATTCACATAATTAGACTACTTAGCTCTAAGTCTGTTCAGTAAACTGCCTGAAAATATAAGACGAATTAATAATTTAAATAATTACAAAAAGTACCTACGTAAAAAAATGGATTTTGAACATTAGAAGAATTTTTTTCCATGACTTTATTAATCAGAAATACAGGTAATAGTTATGCTCACCTTGCGATAATGGATCCATATTCCTATAAAATGTGTTATACATATATTTTATTTTATTTATAGTTTTTTTTAATAAATTTATTTCTACAAAAAACCGCCAGTGGCGTATTCTTTTCTTGGGAAAAGTTGGCAGACGCTTTAGTAGCACGCCAGTGGTTAAAGCCACAAGGTTAATATTACATTCAATAAAAGGTCTAATTAAGTGAACACGCTGTAGTAAATTTCATTCAATTCTGTCAGTGCATTATGAAGATTTAGCAGAAAATATATATATTTTTGTAAACTTGAACACCCTGTATCGAGAATACCGACTCCCGCAGAAAAAAGTTTTTAGAGCAAACTCTACTTATTTTTTAATAATGAATCCTGCAGTTTCTGTATAGATTGCCTATAGATACTTCCGCCGTTTGAAACTAACATCATCACAACACCTAGACTTAGGCTATAGGCATGTTCCTCACTCTAGGTAAAACTGGTTCATTAATGTTTAATTTCTTAGCTTTTTCTGTAGCTTCATTCCACAATGGCAAGAATAAAACAATAATTTTAGATTACGCGCGACAATACGTACCTATATATTTTTCAAAATTTCAAATAAAGAATAAAGTTGAGCAATGTTCAAATTTTCAGTATAGCCGGTGACGTCGAATTTTTGGTATGTTTTTTCAGTGATAGTTACTTTGTACTTCCATCGTATTACCGTATTTATATATGAATTTAGAAGTTTTTTACTTTTACTTAGATAGGTACCTAAATCATTTATTAGCTTCACTCTTGCATCAAACATATTCAAATATTTTAGAAAATGTATTTTTTCAAATTTCAACTTATCTTTTAAACATATCCTTTCTTCACAGGAACCTGGAACACTCTGTACATATGAATTTAAAAAATCCATGTTCAAATCCCGTGACCGTTTTCCTAAAAGAGGTGTAATTAAGGACATTCTATATTTTTATTATACCGGGTGATCTAAAAAGAAACACCCCTGTAGTTCGATTTACATTATAGTGTTAGTGACATTGCAATAGTGAAAACGAACTATAAACTATAAATGTGACTCTATAATTTAGGACATCCTGTGTAAATCACGTAGTTTTGATGAAAATATGATTTGCTAAAGGACGTGTCGTTATGTTAAACAAACTCGTAAATGTATTTTGTAAGCACGTCAAAAGATACTATTAAAAAATATATTGAAAACATAATTTTTATTTTCTATGTAAGCGCTATACGGTTTACACAATGTCGAGTCAATTTTGAATGGTATAATAGACCATTCTCTAATAACTTATTATTGTGGCTAAGCCGTATAAATAAGCATTTCCTTTTTTTACCTGGATGCTATAGGAAAACGCCGTGGAACAATTTACTCAGCATTTTTACACACAGTTGATAGCAGCGCCTTAGGTGAATGCGATCCAAAGTTTCGCATTTAGCATAGACAATTACTCCTGATCTGTTACTGAAGTTATTCAATAAAAGATGGCGCTACTTTGAGTGGTAAATTCGATTTTGACAATTTTGATTAATATTATTTATGTTTTAGGACGAAAAGTGAAGCTTTAAGGTACTCGTAAAGTTTTTCGGCAGATGCGTAGCAGAGGCCGTAAAAATTTACGACTACCCTAAAGCTACTTTTCGTCCATGGTACATACAATTTTTATGATCTTATTTAAAAAATCAAATAGTATTTATTTTTATACTATGGTAAGGTGAGTTACCATAGAAATTCCTTTGAAGTACGACTTTTACTTTATCCTCCTAGAACTTTAAAGTTCCATTCTATTGAACAGTATGAAATAAAATCTATTTATAAATTTGACTATTAAAAAAAAATAACATAAATTTTGCATAAAAATAAACTAACCCATCATGCTTAACAAATCATTTCAGGTAAAAAAAAGAGTAGTTTAAAATAACCAATACTTTATTATAAGAAAACATATTAATTTTCTAATTTCCTTAATAGAATAGAATAATTATAACAAAATGTTTCATTTAGGTTCTAAAATGATGGATGAAGTGGCATATAGTGTGGACTTTTATTATTACATATATTATTTGAATAGTACTATTGGCAGTTGCTATTTAACCCTCCGTCTGCAACGTGCGGTCTCTCACACCGATCCGTAAAATTATTCTGAACTGAAGTGAACAAAGGTGCATGCACAAAACATATAATACAAGAAGGTCGTTTTCATAATACCAAAATCGAAACACCAC